TCCAAATGTGTGTGTGTGTGTGTGTGTGTGTGTGTGTGTGTGTGTGTGTGTGTCGTGTGTTGTGCGCGCGCGCGCATGTGGGTGAGTAGGTGAGTGAGTGAGTGTGTGTAGTGTATATGTATATGATATGTATGTATATGTATATATTGCGCAAAATATCCAGTATGAAAATTACTTTTTCGTAGAAAATATTTTACTTCTAGAGTGACTATCGAAATCTTGGCATAGTTCTACGCACGAGAATATATAAGAGATCGCTCGGTACGTGATGTAAGAGGCTGCGTTTGTTTTTTTCAGAGATCCCAAAAGATCTGCTTTTAAATGCAAATACAAACGAAAATGTCGAGAAGAATACCCTTAAGAATATCCAGGTTACCCTGCGGTTTACCATGAGCCAGAGAATCACTGGAATTCGTACCATGGCTCAGTGCGTCCAGATCGTCTCTGGTTATCCATTCTATATAGCGTTCATGTTTCTCCGCTTCGATAGCGTTCTCCAGAGATTGCAAACCGTCCTTACGACCTATGTGTTGCAGATTCTGTAAGTACAGTCTGCCAAGTTGGCTAATAGAGTATCCGATCTCTAAGCTGTCTTTATTGCCGCTCATAGTCTCTTGCGTGGCGACACTCGCCACGGGATCCAGAAATCTCAATTGCACCAGTTCGGCAGCATTAGTAGGACTATCGGATCGCATTGATGACGGTTTGCTCGTGCCCAGATTATTTTGTCTTATATTCCTTTCCGCGGTATTGATGTTTAAAAAATTATTCGAATTTGCTGCTACACGAAACGTACTCTCCTCGAGCTGCGCGTCTTTGGGACAACCGATAGATTTTTGTACAATGATATTGTCTGCCTCAGCAAAAGAACCGAGATTAGGTTGGACGGGAGCACGATTAGATAGCGCGCTTGATGCACGTTCAAAAAAATCAACGTCCTTCTGGTGCTTCTGTAAAAAATATTCGCACTTCTCCTGATCAGTCTGAGGATACTGGCTGTTGATCGGGCACTCTTCTCGTTTCAAGAGGTCTTGACGTTTCTCGCGCTCCCTGGGTAAAAAATGCAGACTTCTACCGACTCGTTGGAAGAAACTGGGCCGCTTGCGCGCTTTGCTTGCTGCTATTAATTCGACGGACTTTTTCGTCGAATCGAGACTCCTCTGTTTACCGTGAAAGAAGGTTTTCGGCCATTCTTCCGGCAGAAGATCCAGACTCTTACAATCAGCGGTGGGTAGATCAACGCTCCTCTCGAGCGATTCTAAGCTCCTATGCGTTTTTTCCTTGTTATGAAAAGAGAAATTTCTGCGCTTGTTAGTGAAAGCTTCCTGCAACAACTCGGTACTGCTCTTCTTAAAAATCTCACCCTCCTTTTCGAGGAATTCGATGTTTCCCGAATCGCGACGCGTCTCGTAAGCCGTAGTGAGACGTCGCGCACCGCCTATCGTTGAACCTTTGAGCTTTTTGTCACCGTTGTGGTCGTCATAGTCCTTCTCTTTATCCGGGCCACCAAAGCAATTCATCGAGCCGCCTGAGATCGCCGCGGCATCATCCCTGTCATCCGTCACCCGGCGAATGCAGTTTGAACCACCTGTCCCTAGATCCTCAAACATCACGACCTCGCGATCTATGTCTTTCTCAGTTTTATGCCCATGAAAAAAATAACTCTGCTTATCGAGCTGACGGGACGCCGTGTTCGGACTCCTCTCGCGCGTTCTACTCATCATCGGCTGATAATAGTCACGCGACGTAGTCGCGGGATTTAAATCGGCAGTACGATTGGGGCCTAATTCGCGGCTACGTCCTAAATTGAGACTGGTCAGGTCTAGAGAAGCCGCTACGTCTGGCGGTGGTGGCGGCGCCGCTCTACTACCCGGCATGGTCGACTTGAATGTACTGAATTGACATGGATTTGCCACGCGTGTCGCGGTGACGGCAGCAGCAACGGTCTCATTGCAGCCAGGCGCGGGCTGTTGCGAGTGTCCGACTGTCACATTGCGTTGCGTTTTTCGTTCGGCAATAGTAAAATTCTGTTGGCTTGCGCAGAATTGTTGGTAGAATTGTATTTTACCTTGAAGATCGCTCTTGTCCTGATTGTCCTGGTCGCCACGAGTCTCCATCTCGCGTTTCTGCCGGATCGCTCGCAGACTAGCGTTCGGTCCAAGCGTCGGGCCTACTGTCGCCACGGACGCGTTTGGCAAACATTGCCGCGTGTAGGGTCTGAAATCGAAAAGAAATGTAAACTTTAAAACAATAAACAATGATAACAACCGCATAATTGGAATACACTATGCATTATAAGAACACAAATTGTATAACATTAAATGAAATATGTATCAATGGAGTAGAAGATTGCGAGACAATTTAGCAGGATTTGAAAAGGTGCAATTTTCTAGTCATATCTGAAAAGACTACATTTAACGGATTTGCCTTGAATGAAAATAAATATGTTGCAGGCGTAATACAAAATCAGACATTTTACAAAAAGCCGGCATAACGAGAGTTTTAGATAAGAAATAAGAGATTAGAAATGATTCTTGTACATAATATAATAAAAAAATTTATAATATATGCGTTGGCGAGGGGTTCCGCCCTTCTCTCGCACAAAAAAAATAATCTAATTCCAAGCATATTTCTAAAAACAAAGTAAAATTTGGTTGAAATAGGCTTGGAGTTAGATTAGTTTTTTATGCGGTGGAGGAGCACATCCCCTCCCCCGCCTACATGTGTCTGTCTATACACACATATCAGCAAATTACTTCTCTTAGCACTAATAGAAACACTTATATTTCTCAAACATTTAAGCAAAATCTGAATAATGCATTGTAAGTAGGTACACGCATGACATTATGCCTAATTTTGCATTATGCCTGCAATAGATATATGTATATTAGATCGAAATTAAGTAAAAAATTAAATACTAATGAAAAGAATTTTTGCGTATACTTTATTATTCGTTATTGCTCAAAACGGCCGTTTCTCGATTCATTGCCCCAGACGCCAAAAATAGATCACGCTTGAGAGAAATGAAATGACATTGTTATTTATAAACATGAAAAGACGGCATGGTATGAAGATGCCGTCACTAACGGGCTGTTAATTTAATGCCTAAAAAATTTTTTTAGAAAAGTGGACGTCTTTTACAACGACTAAAAAAATCATTAACCAACCTCGATCGATGTTCCTGATCATTGTTGGTCCCGGAAGGCAGCGCCACATTAGACGGTTGCGAGTGCATGGGTGCTTGCTGCGCGGAGGGTAACGTCGGTTGTCTTGCATTACCAAACTTCAGCATATTCCAATCAAAAACATAGTCGTAGGTAAAACCCTGACCATGGAACAACGTCCGAAAAAGTTGTCGGAGGTGCGAATAGTCCGGCCTCTCCTCGAAGCGTAAGTCTCGACAGTACCTTAAATACGACGCGAACTCCACTGCAATGATTAATAAAATGTTTCTTCAAACTTTATTATAAAGTCGAGAAATATGATAAATAAAGATTCTACAAAATGTATATAATATTTTTACTGCAGTAATAGATTCTGTGGCTGATTTAGATAATGGCTTGTGAGCCAATTTTTTGTACGAATTTTGCTTGATAGAACTGTCAAGGCATCGATAATTTTTTAGTTATAAATGATTGAAAAAGAACTGTTACGAGCAAAATTTTGAAGAACCAAGTGGATTATAAAACTATATTAGTCGGTTCGTCTCTTTTAGATAAATTTTGAGAGATTTTAATTTAAGATATAGTTCATTATAAATATGGCACAAAAAATTAAAAAGTTGCGGTAAATTTGCCTCAACATTTTCACTAAGAAAATTAAATTCAAATTGACCAAAGAATCATTAAAAATAACATTCAAAGATTTTGAATTATTTCGTATATATAATGCATGATTATTCATAAAGACTTACCAGGATAACCCTTGCAAAGCTCTTCTACAGGAGTGGACATTTTCTTCTCAGAAATGCGCTCGTACTTTTGTCTCTTGGTTGCCGCTTTTAATCCCTGCCAAGGTAGACTACCCCTATTAAAGTACATGAGAACATAGCCCAGAGATTCAAGATCGTCTCGACGCGACTGCTCAATCCCCAAATGCGTATTTATACTTGCGTATCTATGAGTATCATAGTGAACGAATTAGTCAAAATGGTATTACAATATTGCTGGATATAATATCATAGCTATCAGTATAGCCAACCTGGCAGTTCCCGTCAGATTCTTGTTTTCTCGATAGGGTATGTGCTTGTGTGTGCGCCCGTCGCGATACTTTTTAGCCAGTCCAAAATCTATAATGTAGACAAGGTTCCCCTTCTTTCCCAGACCCATCAGAAAGTTGTCTGGCTTAATATCACGATGAATGAAGTTGCGACTGTGAATGTAATCTGTTCTACTTATCTGCAGAATAAAGAAGTTAAAGCACTGTTATTATAACTGTACACTGTGTTTCATGTGCATGCTTCATGCTTCAAAGATTATATGCAGAAATATAAATAAACTGTTTATTCAATATCTTGCTCGTTATTGTATGTATTGTACAATACTTGCTAAATTAATATTATTATTATTCCTTTTGTGAACTATGGATATTTTTTCTAAGTCCACAAGAGTGCAATGTTTTGTAAGCTAAAACTAACCAATGCCTGTATCCCTTGTTATTTTGAATCAACATTTTCAATAGCATTTTAAAATGTGTTTAATGTAATTACATAAATAAATAAATAAATAAATAAAATATATATATATATATGCACACATGTATAATTACGTTATAATTATTTAAACATTTAGAACTATAAAAAATGTTGATATTATACGTGTTAACTCTTTTATAACTGTATAATATAATAGTTAAAACAATGTTTAAACAATCTTCAAAAAAAGTTTATTTAAAAATATGAATAATTTTTGGCAGGAATGGCATAAGACATATTTTCCTGCAAAATGAAGTAATAAATACTTGAATGTAATCACAATATGAACTTTGAACACATGGCAAGGTATTTGGCGAACACCCTGCATATATATAGATACATATATACATACATACATATATAGTATATATATATAT